GGCATGTGCCCACTTCATATCTCTGTCACTGTTTGGTAACTCTCACAGTGTTTCAAAATTTTGCATTATTATTATATTTGCTGTGGTGATTTGTGATCAGTGATCTTTGATGTTGCTATTGTAACTGGGCACTTTTTAAGCAGTAATGTATTTTTTAATTAAGGCATATACATCATGTTTTTAGATATAATGACACTATACACTTAACAGATTACAATAGTGTGAACATAACTTTCATATGCACTGAGAAACTTAAAAATTCTTGTGACGCACTTTATTGAGACAGTCTCTTTATTAAGGTGGTCTGGAACCAAACCTGCTATAAATTGTAAATCTCCAAGCTGTAATTTTTGCCAAGCCTATAATTTTTCCCAAGGTCACAATGCTTGTGAGTATAGGCACAGCTCAAATTCAGACCTGTCTAACTTTGTACTACAATGTGGAGCATGAGTCTAACTGATACACCCCGCTGACTTTTTCTTGCATTTTAAAATTCATGACCATGAACTGACAAGATAATCCCACAGGACAGTGGGGCATTTTCCAGAATTCATGAGGTAACCACTGACTCTCTATTCTAATTTATTGAAGAACAAGAAGACTTCCAAGATAGGCTGGAATATTTGTGTAATGAATTAAAAAAAAAAAATCAATTCCAAGGTTGTAGGAGGAAATGAAAACCAGCATCTAAATGGTGGTGGGAATGAACCTGACTCAGAAGAGGAGAGATGTATTCCGCAATGAGAACACTAAGAGTCATCTGAATCATTCCAAGCAGCAATATCCCACATCCTAAGAAAAATTAAGAAGGAAGAAGGATTCACAAACTCTGGTATGGGTGAGGAATATCCATCCACTCCTTCTCCAGTAAGAAGAAAGTCATACCGGAGGCTGGTGTTTCTCTGGTAAGGATCACACAGGCTAACGTGGACAGGACAAAGGTAACTTATTCATATAATCGATAAACATTTATTGGGTATCTACCGCGTGCCAGGCACTGCATTCGGACCAGGTGAATGCAGACCATAAGAGAGAGGCAGCAGATGCCTTTCAGTGTGGTCCAGACCAGTGGATCAACAGAGGCTGTTGATGGAATTGCTGTAGTCATCTACAACATAATGCTTTCTTTGAAGAAAGGTTTCTCATCATGGGACTTCATGACCCAGGCTTCTTCTGGGAAAATGCCTCTATAGAAGCAGAGCATCAGAAAGAATCCTGCCTTAGGCTGCTGACAGTTATAACTTTAAGAAGGAATGCAGGGCCAGCTATTCTTGCATTCTGGTCTGACCAAAGAAGAGCTGGTAAACCAAGAGGGTGTAATGGTTTGAATCCTGGAAGGAAACCTTAGACAAGGAAGAAATCCTCAGCACAATCTAAAATGCAGTCTCTTCTTCAGTTCAGAAAATTTTTAAATGGTAAGCAAACAAACCCCCAAACAACTAAGCAAAAATACAGCTTGGTCCCATGGTAAGAAATGCTAAAAGGAAATAAAACATAACAGATACAGCTGGAGGGAGAGGCAAAAATGAAATTCTGACTAGGCATTTCTGGTGATCTCAAAAATGAAGGAAAAAGGCAATTTAACACAAATATAACATAAAACTAAATGCAATGTGGTATCCTGGATTGGATCCTGAAATGAATAAAGACATTAGTAGGAAATATCTTGAAACTGAATAAGCTAGAGTTAATAGTTCTGAACCAATGTTAATTTCTTGGTTTACATGGTACATTTATCAAAATGTACATTTAAATGTAAAATGTTGACATTAGGTGGAACTGGGTGAAGAATGTATGGGAATGTCTGTCCCACTTTGCAGTTGCTCTATAAATCTAAAATTTTACTTCAAAATTTTGAAAGTTTTAAAAAAACACTATACAAGACACTCTTAGATGAACGCTGATGTTGAAAGAAATGTGACGATAAGAGGGCTAGATAATTAAGAAATGCAACATGGACAAGCCAGGAACCTACCCAAACCCATGTCCTTTGAGTTGGTGATGCCATCCAACCATCTATGCTGTGTTAGACCTAATAATTAGAGTGACGTCATAACATTTCCTACGTGAAGTCAAAATTGCTTCCCTTTGTCTCTTCATGTATAGTATAAACACTCAATGGTTTTTGTTAAAGAACTGAATGGATTCTAATTTTCTTCTCTGAAGCTAGGTAAAAAAAACCGGTCTGGTCCAACCATTTGAAGTCAATAATTAAGTCTCCATTTACTCTCTACTTTTCTAGCCTAAATATCTACTATTCCTTAATTTGACATGGGTTGAGGACTATTCTTGTCATTTACAGCCTGACACCATGCCTGGCATAAAGCAAGCACCCAAGATACATCTACTGAACAAGTGCATGAATAAATGAACGGGATAGCTCCAGTCTGTCAATATCAGCCTCAAAACCAAATGCCTAGAGCTAGGAAACATATTGCTAAAAATGTGGCCAGAGAAGTGGACTTGTTGACCTATTGCAGTTTGCCCGCTCTGAACATTACACTATCTTTTTAATTGACGCATAGTTGACTTACAGTGTTGTGTTAATTTATGTTGCACTTAAAACAAAATGATTCAATTATGCACACATATGTGGTGATGTAGTTGCTAAATCATGTCCAACTCATGAACCCATGGACTAGAGCCCACCAGACTTCTCTGTCCGTAGGATTTTCTAGGCAAGAATGCTGGACTGGGTTGCCATTTCCTTCTCCAGCGGATCTTCCCGACCCAGGGATTGAACCAGGGTCTCCTGCACTGCAGGCAGATTCTTCACTGACTGAGCTACAAGGGAAGCCCTATATATACACACATATGTATGTATGTATAGTGAAAGTTGCTCAGTCGTGTCTGACTCTTTGCAACCCCCTGGACTAGACAGCCCATGGACTTCTCCAGGCCAGAATACTGGAGTGGGTAGCCTTTCCCTTCTCCAGGGGATCTTCCCAACCCAGGGATCAAACCCAGGTCTCCCACATTGCAGNAAGCCCCTTGCGAATTTGAAGATTTTGCAATATAGCACAGCAGAGGCCCAGTGGTTGGGTACAGGACGGCACCGAAGGAAGAGACAGGACTAGCTGATCTACTAAGCAGCTGTTTACAGTGGGCCCAGCTACCCCAGAGTGAGATGTTCAATAGGAGGAACTTCCCCCAAATTAAAACGTACAGGAAAACTTAAGTCCAGTGAATCCAACAGAAGCTGGGATTGTCCTGGTATCAGCTTACCTGAGGCTGCAGTCAGAGTCGGGCACGAAGAACCAACCCTCAGGAGGGAAAGGAAACAAAACACAGCTGTGATGAAGATGCTGGCACGTGCAAAACACCAGACTGCTAACATACATGTGTACTTTATTCCCCAATATAAGGCACCATGATCAGCATTAACACCGTGATCACCGTGACACCATGATCACCATTTTACAGCTATAAAGATGAGGGCTTGCAGAGGTTTCAAAACTTGCCCAAAGTCTCACAGATCTAAGTGGCATACCCAAGGTGAGGTCCCCAACTGACGGCCTCTAAAGCTCTTGAACTCAAGCATCACCCCACAGGGCTTCTGTCCCATGTGTTTATTTACCCTTTAAAACAGATTTTATCAAGCACCCTCAGTATTTAAACCCTGCAGACACAGTGGTTAAAAAAAAAAAAAAAAAAGATATACATGGTCCCTGATGGCGCTTAGCAGTCTGGCAAGAACAACAATCAAACAAGCAACCCCAATCAAGTGGGATCCATGTCACGGCAGGAGAGGGTAAGGGTAAACCCCCCAGGCACAAGGGAATAAGAGTTCCTCCATGAAGTCAGTCTTAGAAAGAAGCTTAAGGATACGCTGGCAAGACTAAAGAGTGAGTAAGAGAGACAGAGAGGGAATAAACTCTTAAGATGCGGAAGTCAGTGGGAGACATAGATATGAGCTGAATGTAGCGGGAGGGGTCAGAGGCTCCCATGAGGCTGAGGAGATGAGCAGTGAGTCCAGAGGCCCTGTAAGCCATGCTAAGTGGCATGGAACTTGACTAGAATTGGCAACGGCAAAATCTACTAAGTTCACAGGGACATGACCTCATTCGATTATAAGATTCTTCCACAAAAAGGGAGGCCAGGTTAACACAAATATTTCCCCGTGGGACTGACACCCTGGGAAGGCATTCCATGCTCCACCTGGGCAGCTGAAATTTCTCTGGCCTTGTGAAACCCAATCCACAAAGTTTCTGAACCTCTCCAGGGAGGGTGTGTCTTAGGTGAGTGAAGCAAATATATTCTAGATCCTTTCTTTATGTGACCCACCAAGCCTTAGTTAGAGTCCAGCTTTGCCACTTGACAGGTGGGAAACAAAGGCGACAGCAGCTTGGCATGACTGTGGCTGATGGGATGACTGGTTCCAATTCACCCTTCTCCTTCACAGTTTTATGCATCTCTACCCTGTCAAGGCCTTGAGGTGCATGCATTTCCCCTCCCCAGACTTCAGGTTTCATCTAATTTGATTTGACCAGCACAGTCCTTGCAGCCATTTTATGAGTAGAGGTTTTAAACATGATTGAATGGGTAAGCATGCCTTCCTGCACTTTCACCACTTCCAGGAGATCATGCCTCATAGCTGCTGCTTCTCAAGCCTGAACCCAGTCACACAGAGCAGACTTGAACCTGGTCTATAGCCTAGAGCCAAGGTCAGCTGAGATCAACAGATCCTAAGAGACTTGAAGACTTTCAGTGTGAAGCAGAGTCACTTCCGTTGACCCAGAGACTTGCAAATGTGTGAATAAATGTTTCTGGTTGTATGCCAAGGAATTTGGGGGTCCTTTATTACACAGCATCATCACAGCAATACCTGACTGATAAGAACTTACTCTGAACATATAAAGAAACTTGCTGGAGTGCACAGCACTGCCCCGTCACGGAACCAGGGTGCCTTGGTGGTGGCCTTCTAAGGGAGAAAGCGACCCAGACTGCCACTGCCACCCACTCTCCCACCCCCGGCCTCCCGCCCACCACGCGCCACTCACCTGAGTCTGACGCTGCTGGGCTCACCAGGCTGAGCAGCTCCCGCTCCTTCTCATAGTCCCCTTTGCAGAGCAGCTGCCCCTCCTTCAGCACAAACTCATCGCCCTTCTGGAGCTGCCGCTCGCAGACACAGCAGCAGAAGCAGCCCAGGTGGTACACGCTCTTCTGGGCCCGCATGACAAACTCGTTGGGTGCGATGGCCTCAAAGCAGCCCCCACATTTGACAGCAAACAGCCTAGCAGCAGGGAAAAAGCGAAGCAAGGTCTGTGAGAAAGACGGCTGAGGCCCAAGTCTTCCCTCAAGTCGATCGCAAAAGGAACTTCAAGAACGGGGATAAGGAGACTTGGAACGGAACAGGCTTTAAATCTAGGTGATTTTATTCCCTGAGGAGGTTGAACCAAAGAATTCAGTTGAGTTACTCTCTCAAAGGCTTAGGAAAAGAAGGATGAGCAGCCTTGGAGGAAATGTGACTTGGAGCCCAGGGTATTTGGCGTGGTCCATGGCGAAGTGCTCTCAAAGGATGCTCTACAGACTGGCGCTAGGCAGGCTGCCCAGGGTCCCCAAGGGCTGACTATTCAAAACAAAATACCAGTAACAAAAAGGTCCAGGCCCACTCCAATCGCATGCAAATGGATGGGCCCCAGCATGTGAATTTTTAAAAAAGCTCCCCAGGGCATTCTGAGATGTCACCTAGTTTCTGAGAGAGAAACTGCATCCCAGCTTCCGAGCCTGATACTCAGTGGATTCAGCCCAACTTTCAGGACTTTTATCTCATTTCACTTACTTTCAGGCAACCATGAAGAGGGTGTCCATCTATGCCAGGAGGAGGCAGTAGATACTAGTGATATAAAGGTTAATGAAATAATTCCCTTCCAGAAATGAGCTCAGGCTAATAAGAGAGACAGACATGTCCAAATAACCAGAGGGTCCCAGAACACAGAAGAGGAGATGACTAGCTGTCAGGGAGTTAGCAGGAGAATCTGCATTTTATGATACATTCAATAAATCTTGGTCAAGAGCATTACTCTATAGAGAGGCCCTCCACCGTGCTGGCCTAAGTGTGGCCAGTCCCATCCCACAAGTCCTTTGACACACTCACTCACTCATTTAGTCTTCTTTCCATTCATTCTTTCATTGATTCAGAAGCATCCACCACACACTACACCAGACACTCGGTGTTTTAACGGAGGGGTGGGGGAAGGAGGCCCCCCGCCCCCAGCAGCATTCACGTACTAAGAGTCTCCAGGAGTGTCTGTTGCAGGCCCAAATAATCCAAAACAAAGTCCTCATCCTCGGTCTCCATCCTCTGTCACAGAGCTCCCATAACAGTGGGAGAAACAGCAAACAAAGAAACAAACAGATAATGTCTACCCAGAGGGATTTACCTTCAGGGAACAGAATATAAGAATGATATGAAGCCATGCTTCATGAACACAAAATAGGGGGCAAAGCCCTAGCCTGTTTATAACAGTTAATCACTCCTCAGCCCTGAAGCTATACTAGTAAAGGGCTACATCTGAACACGTGCACAGTGTGTTTATCTTGGCAACTTCCTGGACAAAGGGAAGAGTTTTGAGGGTAGAGTGGGGAAGTGGGTAATAAGGAATTACCAAGAAAGGAACTGGCACAAGAGAGAGGAAGGCCGGAGTCTCTAGATGAAGGAAGCCGAGGCCTGGAGAAGGGACTGAAGCCGCCTCCTGTGAGTCTGCTAGGGAACAGCCTCTGGACAGAGGCCAGCCTGCAGGGGACTCAGCACAGCTCGGGATGAGAAGCACATATGCAGCCTCACTGTTAACCTAGACCTCGGGCCCTGACACCAGCCTGCCCCTCGCCTTGACCACTGGACGCTCATTAGAAACACCCATCCTGATATGCCTGCCTTCTGCCCCTCAATTTCAGAAAGGAGGCTGAGGCTGGGGGGACCGTTCGGGGGCTGCTGTGGCTCCTTCACCACCAGGCAGGTATGTGACAGCCCCCTAAACAGAGCTCCAGGCCCCCGCTGCTCTGCCCACGCCCTCTCCCTTCCCCCACCTGCTCTGGGTGGTTCTGCTCTCCAAGTCTGAACTTCAGGGCACACACGAGGCCCTGGAACGAAGGCCTTTACCCCCCACCCCGATGCTGGATGTCGTGTGTATCAGACAGAAAATCCACCTAGTTCATCCCCGGCCCCGAGTCCCCAGACACTGTTTGCCAACCTAAGCAAACGAATCAGGGCTTTAACAGGAGCTGGTCAAATGCGCTTTGTCCCCAAGCCCTCCTTCTCCTCCCCTGCCCCGGGAAGGAGCTGTCAAACAGAATCAAGGCGAATGCTCCGGGGGTCAACAAGCTCTTGAGAATCCAGTCGCAGGTGGTGGCATCTGTGCTTGTCTAACTTCTATCCTGTTCATCTCCTCCTCCCCTTCTTAATTTCAACCCCCACTCCAAAAACTTCCCCCAAGCTGGAAAAGGGAGGGTTGTGGGGAGCTCAGCAAAGAGATCCCACCATACTGACTCAGGAACGGCTGGAGGAAGCGGCGGGCGTTGCCTGGGCTCAGATCCTGTAATGGTCGCGATGGGCAGGGGTGGGGGGGTACAGAGGCCTGGCAGAGGGGGGCAGACCTGTTTGTCTCCGTTCTCTTCCCCAGCTCCCCCACTCTGGGTGAAGTCCAGGCTGACCTCACCTAACTGCTTCTCACCACCCCGAGGGCACCCCAAGGGGAAGAGGCGCACACAGTCCGCAGGGGCGCTACTGTGGGCCCAGCTGCTGACTGCACACTTCCGCAGGTTGTCGTCTCTAGGGCTCAGACACGCAGAGAAAAGGATTTGTTCAAAAGTCCAGGGCGTAATTAAAACACAGCCTCTCTCTTCCCAATGCCCTGGATGGCGGCCCCCACGGTGACTTCACCCTCTGAATGCTAATGAGACTTCACTCCCGGTTCAGAACCTGGCAGCCTGGCTGTGCCCTGGAAAGCTAAGCCTGATTTCAAGAAAAGTCCAGCTCTGCCGGGCATATATAACAACTGTCAACTTTGCCCACCACTAGACATTCACCCACTCCTGAAGGCTCCGTAAATGATTCTTTACCTCTCTGTTACATCTAATTCCCTCACTTGTAAGATGGAAATAACAGGATCCAGCCGGTGGAGCCATGTCCAGGGCCCAAGTCCTCTGTTAAGAGCTCTCCTTCCTCTGCTAAACGCCCTTTGCCCTCCGTGGGGCAGCCCTGGGGCTGCAGCCCTGAACAAGGCTGCCATGTCCTCAGGGAGCTCACATTCCCCAACAGGCTGGCAACAATGACCACAGGAGGCTGTGTCTGGGGCATGTAGGAGGGGCCCAGCCAGAAGCCCCAAACAGCCCTACCCGACTGGCCCGGGCTAGAGGTCACCACATCTTCCTTCTCTTCCTTCCCACCCTTTCCGTTTAGCTTTCTTCTTCGTCCCTCTGGCCCTTTCCTGCTCGACCACAGGCAGGGAGGCCAAGGCTGACTGAAGCTCCATCCCAGGCCTTGCCCATCTATCTCCCTTCCTGAAGAGCACCGTGTTAAGATGCATAACTGGCAGTTCTAGGAGGGAGCTGGAGTCGAGGCTGTTGGCTCGGCCACTTCCAGGCAGTCCCTGTGGGTCGGGGCCCATCATGTAACCTCTGGCAGCCTCGGTTTGTTCCGATGAGGATGCCTGCACTCCTGGATTACTGGGGATGAAATGGCAGCAGGTCTGAGGACCTGGAGACCCATAAGGAAGGGCACAATTCTTAGTTCTTATGACAGGCCTTGCCTCTGTCTTTGACTTTTTTTCCCCCCTCCAAAGGCAGCTGTCTGTGCTCAAGAGTTTCCAAGCTGTGTCCTGAGAGATGGCTTCTTCCTTGACAGCAGGAGTCCTTTTGCTGACTCCTCCCGGCTCTGACATTAGCACGACCTCCTCTTCAAAGCGTGCAGCACTGACCCAAAAGAAGAACGGGAGCGGCGTGGCTGGCACCGCTGACATGCAGAGCACACACCTTAGACAAGGCATGTCCTCCCACCACACGCACCGAGATAATGCGACGGGGATGAGGTATCTAGTATTAGGTGCTATGGAGGGTAGCAAAGAAGAAAATAAAAGGTGACCTGATGCAGGCAAAGGACCCAGGACTTGACGTAGGAAGACCTAGGCTCAAGGTTTCTTTTATCAAGAGGCCTCAGGAAAGACCCTGTCTTTCCCTGGGCCTGTCTTCTTATCTTTAATGAAAAAGTACTGCCCTATATCAGTCGTTCAGAGAAGGCAATGGCACCCACTCCAGTACTCTTGCCTGGAAAATCCCATGGACAGAGGAGCCTGGTAGGCTGCAGTCCATGGGGTCGCAAAAAGTCGGACATGACTGAGCGATTTCACTTTCACTTTTCACTTTTATGCATTGGAGAAGGAAATGGCAACCCACTCCAGTGTTCTTGCCTGGAGAATCCCAGGGATGGGGTCGCACAGAGTCAGACGTGACTGAACTGACTTAGCAGTAGCATATTAGTCGTTACATCAAGTTCTTAGAGGTTGTGGAAGGGGTCAGTCTCTATTCTGCTTGTCTCCTTTTAACCAGAGAAGCCAACTCTGCCTACACCTAAGCCCAGGTCTCCAGCATGACAGGGCCTTACTATGGGAATTCTCCAAACAAGGTATTTTCCAGAAACATATCATTCAGAGACATGCATACACATGTATATGTGTGAGTGTGCAAATATATATATCTGTATATCTGTGAATGTTATGGTTCATTCACAAATATACATACATCTGTGTATATGTATACACAAATATATACACAGATGCACACACATAACAGGTAAGGCAAGAAGAGGACATGTATGAAAGAACACACAAAACATACATATGCACACACCAGCTAAAACCAACACCTCACTCACGTATCTCTCTCTTTCTTCCTATCTGCACAGCATAAATATGTAAGTACTTCCAGAAAGGATTTACATTAATATAATGTAAGTCAATATAATATAGTGTAAATTATATACATATATATATTATACAAATTTTCAAATATATCTGTTTCTAGAAAAGATTTCATTTGACGATAGCAAAATGCTCCTAGGGTACATTTGAAACCCATTAGGCTGGATAATTTCATAACTCACCCCCATTTTTATGATTCATGCGTTTATATAGTGTTGGAGGTCCTACTCTGTAGGTAAGGAGAATGTTTCCAAGGCAGAGATGAAGGCGTGCGACCTGAGAAACTCCTAGAGACACGACTAAGGCGATGGAGACG